ACTCTGTACACACACACACACACACACACACACACACACACTATATGATTAATATGAATCAATGTTAATGTTGTGTTAATGTTACTATAATTGTGTTCTGACAGATTTTATTTTGATGCTTTTGGCAACATTGTTATAGAAACTTTCATGCCAGTTAAATCCTTTGTATTGATTGATAAAATCAAAAATGTATTTGCACACCTCGTGTGTTTGTGCAAAATTACAGTGTAATGGCATTCAAATCTATTTTAGGTGTTGGTATTTTAGAAATGTGCTTTATATCATGTTATACTTGCAATAGTGGGTTTATGTAATGGAAACTACTTCAGTTATTGTTAAACTGTTGATTGATTTGTTGAATTCATTATCTAATCATTCCTTATTATGTGCAGTTATTTCACGGCTGCATTTCTTTCTTTGCATTGATTTACAGATATATTAACTGACCAGTTTGGTGTGTCTCTCCTCTGATGACTACATGATTTCAGGCTTTGTGCATTTTTTTTCTTGTTAAAATGTTGGGCTTCACAAGCTTGTGTTTCCCCCCTCTGTTTCCATAAGAAATTAATGTGCCAAAGATAAGTATATCTGTCTTTAAATTGTATTTTAACATTTAATAAACACTGAAACATTATCTACACAGCTTCAGAGCTTGAGTGTTTTTTGAGAGATGTAAGAATGATCAGTTTCATCCATTTCATGTTTTAAACATTCCTCTCATGAAAAGTAACACTAAATGTCAAAACCCACTTTAAGGTGAATTTCACAGAGTGACAAGTTAATCTTTTGTGATCTAGCATCAACACAAGCTTTACACATTAAAATAAGCAGACTGTAGAAAATGAGCAAAACAGAACAGAAAGCAGATGGGCTCATGCTGTGACCATGCACAGGCAAATAATGATAAATAAGGAGAAATTTCACTGCTCAAAAATATTAAGGGAACACTTAATGGTCACAGTATAATACCAAGTCAGTTAAACTTCAGGGATATCAATCTGTCCATTTAGGAAGCACAAGTGATCATATCATGAATCAGGTTCACCTGCTTTGGTGCAAATCAAAGTGACAACAGGTGCAATGGAAAGGCAAAAGCAAGACAACTCCCAAAAAGGGAAAGGTTTTACACATGGTGGCCACACACAGGAGGGCGGCCGTAACATGAGGAGAGCTGGACAGGGCCGTAGAAGGGCATGAACCCAGCAGCAGAACCGGTATCTGCTCCTTGGTGTGAGGAGGAACAGGAGGAGCACTGTCAGAGCCCTCCAAAATGATCTCCAGCAGGCTACTGGTGTGCATGTTTCTGACTACACTGTCAGAAACAGACTCCATGAGGGTGGCATGAGGGCCTGATGTCCTCTAGTGCAGTGGTTCGCAACCATTTTCTTGAGGGACCCATATTTTTACCATAGTAGACTTTGGGGCCCCAAAGTCTACAACCCCTAAATGTTGACAAAGAACACATTAAATTTACACCCCTTAAAATCAAGAGGGCTTCGGGACCCCCCTATGGGGGTTGCGCCCCCCCGGTTGGGAACCACTGCTCTAGTGGGACCTGTGCTCACAGCCCAGTACTGTGCAGCTTGATTGGCATTCTTCAGAGAACACCAGAATTGGCAGGTCCGCCATTGGCGCCCCGTTCTCTTCACAAATGAGAGCAGGTTCACACTGAGCACATGTGACAGGTGTTAAAGATTCTGGAGACGCTGTGGTGAACGTTATGCTGCCTGTAACATCATCCAGCATGACCGGTTTGGTGGTGGGTCAGTGATGGTCTGGGGAGGCATATCCTTGGAGGGTCACACAGACCTCCATGTCATAGCCAACGGTACCCTGACTGCTGTAAGGTACCAGGATGAAATCCTCAGAGCGACTGTCAGACGTTACTCTGGTGCAGTGGGCCCTGGGTTCCTCCTGGTGCCGGACAATGCCCAGCATCATGTGGCCAAAGTGTGTAGGCAGTTCCTGGATGACAAATGCATTGAGGCCACTGACTGGCTCTCTCGCTCCCCTGACATAAATTCAATTGAGTAATGGGACATTATGTAGCGGTACATCTGACGCTGTCAAGAACCGCCACAAAATGTTCAGGAGCTCACTGAAGCCCTGATCCAGGTCTGGGAAGAGATCCCCCAGGACACTATCCATTGATTCTTCAGGAGCATGCCCAGACGTTGTTGGGAGTACATACAGGCACGTGGGGGCCAAACACACTACTGAGTCACATCATGAGTTGTCGTGATAAAATTGGCGTCACCAGCCCAAGATGGTGGCGTCCATTTCTGTTATATTTTGGCCTTATTTTTGTACAGTAGGGAGAAGTTGAGACGCTTTGTCCATCTTTTTACAGTCATTGGTCGTCACTGAAAATGGTCCCCCTCAGTGTTAAATACGTTATTACAGCCCTGCTTTAAATGGAATTAAGGAGCCTCGCCCAAAACATAAAAAACCCACAAGACATCTAGCTACAAAATGTTTTTTCTTTGATCTCATTTTCAAAAAAACCTTCAAACTAAAGCACAGGCACACACTGCTTAGTAAATTTAGTCATATTTTATTATATCTCACACTTTGATTCCATATTAGAAGTTATTCATCTGGATAGACTCGTACAGAAAAGGGTTCAACATCTTGTCATAGTCTCAAAATGACTTGAGAGAAAGAAGTACGACCTCCACCTCCACCTCCACCTCCACCTTACACCTCTGGGCCCAGGAATGTGACCTGATGACAGGGCAGGAGAGTGCAATGAGTCCTTTTGGAGTAACAGTCTGTATTTCAGTTTGGTAACAAACACTCAGGACCTTCAGCTCGACCTGGAAACACCTGAAGTAACAGCAAATAACAAAGGAGGCATGTTCACAAATATCATATTGCCGCATGACACTCAACACTGTCCTACTTTGTTTAAAAAAAAAAAAAAAAGATGTTCAAGAAATTCAACACTTTGGGAAATGGGCTGGTTAGTTTTCTAGCGAAGAGTTGGCTAGCTTAAGAGATTGACACCACCCTCATGTTTGTCCAATGGATGTATAAAGAGACCTGGATACAGTGTTGGAGGCAAGACTCTGTTCCATCCTATAAAAGTCACTCAGTGGTGCATGAAGCCAAAAAGGCTGAACTGCCGCTTGTAACCTGGATGATCGCCACTGCTTCCCCATCGCTGGGCCAAATGAGCAAGTGCACTAAAGATTTCCAACATTCAAGCCAGCTACTTCAGCTTAGCGCTCTGCTAACTTGAATGGGAATACAATGACTTAATCTTGTGGCTCTTCTAGGGTTTCCAAATGTTACTATGAACATATGGATAGTGTAACAAGTCATTTCATGGGGGTTGTAACACAAAGATTCTCAGTCATCCAGGTCATGGTAATCTTTATTGCTTCTTCAGCTCCCTTGGATGAGAGGGGAATACATCTTCAAGAAACTTAAACAAGTCTGGCTGCCTACAACATAGCACTTAAGATCACTCAAAAAAATGTATCCACTGATTTACAGGCATTTCTTTTCCAACGTAAGTCTTTGGGAAATTGTCTTTTGGGCCCAATGGCATCATGTGATGGACTCAGAAGTTGTACTTCAAGTTGGCTTCAAAGTGCAGCGCACTTCCTGGGGGCTTGATTTCTCTGACTCTGTTAGTCAGTTAGCTTAGCCTAATGTTTGTGAGGTTAGCACAAATGCAAACATCCCCTTACTAGCACCTCTAAGGCATACCAATTAAAAGATTATATCAAGCTTGCTTAATATGTACAAAACCTGACGTGTAAGACCCCCAATTCAGTGTTTTAATTTAGCAAGCTATAGGCCAGACTACTCAACACATTCTCACTCCGACCTCGTCACATATCAATGTTTGGTCATGGACCTTCCATGTCCAGATATGACGTGGGAGGTACCCTGGGTGTGTTGGTTATTGATGTTCTGGGACGCTGTGTCAAGTTCTGCCTGTTACATGCATTGTCTTCTTTCAAAATAAACGTGTTACGTCAGTACAACAACGCGAATTGACTTTTTTTCCCTCCAATAACTAATGCACGTGGTTTAGGCAACAAAAACCCATGGTTAGGTTTAGACCACAGAAATGGTTGAGACCAGGACCCCAGGAAAGCCGCTTAGCCTTGCAGCAAATCTCTCCCAGTGGCCACTCGCAGTATTGCAGCCAAAAAATCCCCTGCAGCCCAATTTTTTTTCCCCTTACACCACAATTGTAAAAGACACAATTAGTATTTTACTGTTCTCTCATCTTCTAAAATGATATACAGATACACAGCATTACTCTCTCCCAGAAAGCGAATGAGCATATTTCCCAAAATGTCTATTTTTTTGCTTTAAATGTGTCGAACATTTTCAGTGTAAGTCAGACTCACTACTCGTGTTTAACTACCTATTTTAGTGTGAGACTGAAGAATTACAGGCAACAAAAAGATTCAAAGAGTCAAACCTACCCAGCTTCAATTCATGTTCAGTTTAACTTTTTTACTCCCTGTTAGTACTCCACAATACTGTCAGATTACACAATACTGTATGGCACACACTAATAATGGACCAATAGCTTGATATTTCAAAGTGTACATTTCAAAGTCAAGACAAAGTACAGGGACCTAATCAACATAGAGCTATACACAGATTATAGACTTGTTACAATTGATGTTTTCTCCTGCTTAGTATCTTTTTTTTCACCTCTAATAACTACCTTTGATTCTATCACATCAAACATTTATTTATAACAAAACAGCACTGTTTTTCTGTTGGTTTATCCAGTCAGTCATTTTTGTCAGTCCTCACTTCGCTCTCCTTTAAATCAAAGGTCAAAGAGTGTCAAAGCCAAATTCCTTCGCAGGGAGTTTGTTGACTTGATAAATAAGAAGATCTGACAGCTTTGACCTCGAGTCTGTTAAGTCCTTATTTGTGTCGGTCAAAGTCTGTATAATTTGTTTTGATTTAATTCGATTTGAGCAGCCGTCGCTCCATGGTGTGTATCCCGGGGCTGAATTACCACACTAAGAGTCTTTTTCGTTTTTTTTTTTTTTTCTTCTTTTTTTCAGCTGAACCATTGCAGCCCTCCTCACATCCACACGGACAAACATTTCAGTTTGAACAGCTTGGGTAAGATGATACAGTGACATACCAACACAGGTTAACTTTGAGAACGTCTTTTTGACAATTCATCCTGCAGTTTGAGATGAATGAGACGGCTATTTTACAGGGGTGGAGCTTTCAGAGAGGACGAACGGCATCCTGGTGTCCACCAAGGTTGTGTGGCCTCTTTCAGACCTCCTCCTCTTCCTCCTCCTCTTTGATCTGTTCTTTCCCTTCACATCAGCTCTGCATCCCAGCCACAGGTCGGACCAGGAGAGGGAAGCTGGATCCTGAAGTAACATCACGTTTAGGCAGCAAAACCTGCAGGCAAGAGGAAAAATAATGTATAATCCGCAGCAATACATGTAATTTAGAACAGTGGATGTAGATCAGTTATTCCCTCTGGTTTGCACTGTATTTAATTGATACAGATGATTTTTCCCGTGCATTTGATTGAAGATCCTAGTAGGTGGGAGCTTCATAATGTTCCCACTCACACATCATCCAATTATTGTGCAAATGAACTTACATGCTTTTAAAAAAGAAACACACCCTCGTGCTTTTAAACAGCAATTATTCACTTAAAATGCAAAAGCATCTCTAATTCAGATTCATGAGCACAGCAGCAGCTGGAAGGCACTTGTAAATAAAGAACAAATCAATTTTGATGTGCTGAATCCACCACTGTTTTAAGTGATTATGATTAGCGTAGTATTATTATTATTATTTAATTTCAGTATTTTACGCACTGATTTATGTTAAAAAAATGCTATGAAAAAAATAAACAATTCATTACGTGATGACGACGTTTATCAGATGATGAATGTCATAATTGTGATTAGTGCCACTTCTGATAATTATATTGATGTTGCTTGAGGAGCATTTAGTCACCGTAAATATGTTCTGGTGTTGCAACCAAGTTTTGTTCAAACCCACAGAACTTTATTTAAAACTCTAGTGACGATTCAAAGGCACGATCAGGATGAACACCTAACGCAAATAGCTAATCAGCCAATCATGTGGCAGCAACTCAATGCATTTAGGCACGTTGGCATGGTCAAGACGACCTGCTGAAGTTCATACCGAGCACCAGAATGTAGAAGAAAGGTGATTTGAGTGACTTTGAACGTGGCATGGTTGTTGGTGCCATAATTTAAAGCTGGGGTAGGCAGAAATCTGGAAAAGGCAAAAAGCAGCAGAATTTAAAAATACACCCTCCTCCTGCAGCTCCCCGCTCTCTGTCCTCAGCCCCTCCCACCAGACGACCACAGGCATATGCACGTGCTTCGTACAGTAACCCAGTGTTTTCCATGTACTGATTTATTTAATCTAATTGTACTGTAGAGTTGTGCACAATGCCTTCACTCTTCTCCTCATCCCGCTCTTTCTCTTTGTTAATCAGACCACAAATGAGCAGCTGGGGAGACGGACCTTTGGTCGGCAGCTAAATTCAGCCGGCATAAAGCCCCCAGCACTGGGTGTCCCAGCAGGCTGGCGACCAGCAGCAGTGACAGCCCCCAGGACTAACTTGTGTCACAGCAGCAACAGAAAGTTTGCTGATCCAGGGCTGTCGGGTCCCTCGCAGCTGGGGTTTACACTGGCTGGATTTAAGTTGCAAGGTGCTCTATAGTGGCAGGGAGTGAGGCGGAGGACACACTGTGATTCAAAGCTCTAGATAACGTTAGCTACTGTACATAAAAGTGAACGTGAAGCCGCAGCCTTGAGTGTTGGGCTCTGGTAAGCAGATGGTTAAACTGTTACTATTTTCTTTCCATCTCTTAAACTTCGATACTGGCACATGTTTTACTGTGTTTATTGTCAGACTGTCTTTCCGATAACTCCCATCTTCTTTTTTGGGTTGCTTTGCAGAGTTGACAGTTGTTGCCAATGCTGGAATAGCAACTTTCTCTGCAGGACTCTCAGCGATTGAATCAGACTTTGAACTGAAGAGACGTACATCTGCATTTAAAGAACAGCCTGAACACCCTCTCTTGTCATGTCAAAGCCTAGATTTTCTAAATCCTGAAAACAGAGCCAAGAGGAGGTGCAGTGGTCTGGTTTTCCCTCAGACCACTTGAATTATAATATGCTCTAAGTTATTATGAAATGAAACCACCTACCCCATCTTTAAACAGCAATATCTGCTAGCGTTTGCTAACATTAGCCACCATATGCTACATGTCTTATCAGACTAAGTAAAGCCTTTACCAGTGAAACCCCTCAGAGTATTGAAATGAGGAGAGGGAGGTTTTATTGCTCATGAATCTAACATTTCGCTTGTTTTTCAAAAGTTACATAGTCTCCTAAATGTATTTTCTCTATCAGCACATTGGAGTTTTTGAGTGTTGTGCTCTATATAAATGATAACTGACTCTGATTTTTGCTTATTTAGTCGTGAACATTTTGTGTTTTAGAAATTACATGTTTTCAAGGTGGTTAAAAGGAAATGGGGAAAAAGGAAAACTGGACATTAATTCAGATTCAGATTCAGATTCAGAATACTTTATTAATCCCCGGGGGGAAATTGTTTTTGTTCCAGTGCTCCGCGCAAAGTAGAAATAGAAATACAGCATGAATGGAAACAAGAGATAAAGATGAAGATATAAATAAGATACTAAAATAGACAATGAAATAAGTAAAATAAAATATTAAAGTAGACATTAAAATAAAATAAAATAAAATAAAATAAAATATTAAAGTAGACAATAAAATAAAATAAATAATAAAATAGTAAAGTAGACAATCTGAAATATATACAATATACAATGAAATGGTTGTAGCGTTATAAATGAAATAAGAATGAGTAATTATATTGTGTGTTTTGTTTTAATGGGAGAAATTTTAAGAAAACACATGATTATTGCTTGAAAGGTTCAGTGATAGCTTATCCTCCTGAGACCCTGAACTTTTGTTTGGTATGCATTTTTAATTTTTCCTAGCTATTGGGATCAGTAGGGCCCAATATGTATAAAAAACTAAACATTGTCAACAATAATAAAGTCCCAGTGTCCTCAAATGAGTACTTCCTATCTAGCAGCATCTTATCTTCTTACTGTTGCTAAAATTGGTCAAATTTGTTGCCATATCAAACTACAAAAGTTATTAATCATAGACAAGTTTCAGCCATAAAATGTGATCAGGTTTTGAACCTTGTCCACTTTTGTGTCGGGATCAGCTGCAGACTGACTTGGCAGAGATGGCTGCCATCTTGTTCTTACATGGATTAGTGTATTGTGCTCTTACTATCATTAGATGGGACAAAAAAGGACGAGGACAACAGGTCTAAGACAAGCAGAATGAAGTATAAGGTCCAGTAAACCCAAAATGTGATGTCCTCATATGAGGTCTCAGGAGGATTTGATTTATGTTTCTGATTTCTATTTGTTGCTATAAACAACATTACACTTAAATATAATCCTTACCTGTGTGTGTGTGCTTTACCATTATCAGATATTATATGGCGTTGTTGCCGCTCTCTGTGGGGACAAAAAGAGAGACACCAGTTCAGTATAAAGAGGATTGCTCTGACATCGTTTTAACCAGCAGGTGGCAGTGCTACATCACTTTTTCCTCCTCTACAGGCTGCATGAATTTGAACACCTCTGGACAGGTGTCACTATCCATCCTCCTGAGTGACAAGATAAGACAGCATCCAATTTAAACTTCATCTGCTGGGTGATGAATCCCCAACTTTTCACTTTGATTCTCATATTTCATGTACATCTGCCTCTCTTCCTCTTCCTCAGCTCATTATCCTCTCTCTGTCTTGCCCTTCCCTCTCCGGTCTCTTGGTTGATAATGGCTTCTTCCTCCCAGTCTTTTTGCTTATATGAGCTAACAGGCGACTGTGTCCCGGCTGATAGGGTGGCTGTGATTCATTTAGACAGGCTGGCAGCAAGCTGTGTAAACAGCCATTAGTAATTCATGACTCTGTCCAGCATCCCCAGGCTTCAATTAACCCTTGCTATCGGTGCATTCTTCCTCTCAGTCACCCATCTTTCTCTCCGTGTGCGTCTCTCCTCTCATCTCCGGCCTTCTTCATCTGTATTCTCCTCCTCTTCCTGCCTCCTTCCTCGCTGTTTAAATCATTCTCGTTGGGTCCGAGTGCAGTTGTCACCTCACCCCAATCAGGACAGAAAAATCTCACTGGTAACAGAAGCAAGCAGGTGGTGTACAACATTCATCTAATGTATGAAAATGAATAAGCTGAGCATGGGAAATTATGCAAGGAGGAGTTTTTTTGCTGCTGGTGGGATGTGGAATCAGATCTTTGATGTGTGCCGTCTCATTAATGTACTGAGGTTTAATGGTAAAGCCAATTAAGCTCAAAAACGTAGCAGAGATGTGGATACGAGTCACAGATCTAATGTATTCAGACTTGTAGCTCACTTTGACTTTGCTTGGACTCGAGCCTCACGATGCTCCTCAAGCCAAAAGTGGAATAGATCTCAGACACAGAGCAGATATTCAGGCCAGCGTCCAAATGGATTTTTTAATAAGTTTAGTGGCACTTGCTTTGTTTTGTTTTGAAAATAGCCTGAATCTCATTTCAGGTGTAATTGCACTACAGCTTTTATTATGTTGTCGTGCACCGAACTGTCTCTGTTAAAGTGCTCCGTGAATTAACATGAAATGGGTTTTGAGGTGTACAAAGTGTACTATTACTCTTCTGGAGTTTCCATTTCGAAAGGGCGACAAATCTAGTGAAGAATGTGTTATGACTTTTAGAGGACTTGCCTGTTTTAATTTGGGACTTCAGTGCCAAGACTGCGGCTGAAACAATTAGTTGAATCATTTAGTCCTTTGGCCCGTGACCCTTTAAGGCAAAGCAGCGTTTACTTGTGACCCCTCATCACAGACTGCAGCTATCTACGAGTTACGAGCAGATCAAACAAAGAGCAACGTTCCCCTTTCAGACTTATGCAACTGAAAATTTTAGATAAGTGAATCCAAATTTGTGGGTCGTGGTCCAAAAATGTATCATGGGTCCACTCTGAGTGGACCAGAAGTGACTTGCAGACGTGTCAAGTTTGTAAAAAACACACTTTACTTTGAAGTACAGTGAATATCTGGCACAGAACCTTTATTTTCTAGTGCTGTTTCCTGCTGTAGAGTGAGTGAGTCACTGACAGCTACTTGACAGAGACAGCAAACTAGCTCTACTGAATGGCCAAACACAATTATGACGCTGAATGTGTTAAACTGTGTGGACCTTGAACTAATGAGGAAGGAGAAATCTGGACCCTGTGGCTGGACCAGTTGGGAACCACTGTTTTATCTCTGCCAGCTGTAAGCCTGGAGGGGATTGTGCATTTGGTCATGTGTGTAAATGTCTGTCCACAGCTAATCTTGCAAACTATTGGACCAACCAGCCTCATATTTTGTAAGACAGTATGCTCAAGGACTTCTTGTGCTTGCGGTGATTTACAATTGTTGAAAAACCTGTTTTATTGACTCCTTCATATTGTCACTCACTGCTGACTCCTCTTCATTTTAACCAGCCAGTAGGAGCCGTAAGTTTTCCGGAAATCCGCTCAGCTAAAAACATTTAGGCTTCGCCGTGGCTCAAAAACTGACATCCATACAAAGGTTTTCTCTCATTTTGAACCAGAGCACCTACAACTTAATTTTAAACCAATATGTTATGATCATTTCAAGTTAGGTATGATATGAGATGATTAGGTCAATTGCTTTCATTATCTTTGGCACCATCAGTGCCACCTGGCGGAGCTATGCCAGGTTTTGGCTGCCATGGCTGTGACCTGGTTTTGTTTCGTCTGGCGCATGCTGTGATTCCACACCACGAGTGTTTCAGAAGTGGAGGGTTTTTGTAGACTTGCAGATTTTGTTGATTTGGTCTTGATATTCATGCTTCTATCCTCAGTAGGCAGTTAAATTGTTTCTTTATCTGTTATGTTTTAATCATGTTTATTGCTGTTATTTACTTTCTTGTGCTGTGGCTTACAGGCAAAGTTAGTACTGTTAAAACTCCAGTTATGAGTGACATGGATTAAAGATTTGTGCCTGTGTTTTAGCTATTAAAAATACATTAATCCTCATAATAATATCATATCTTTATTTTACATCGAGTGCCTGTTAACTGGAGAACTCGATCTGCTTCATGAAACGCCCTGCAGCTCTGTCAAAAATAGACGAGGTGTGTATTTCATTAGCCTCTAGGATGCTTCTGAAACATGCATTGGCTGGAATTACAACAATTCTGTAAAGACGCAGCGACCACTTTTCAGTCTGGTGGAGATCTGCACTCGACTGAGAGCACTTCTCTAGTTTACCAATAACAAGCAAATATTAGGTACGTTCTTCCTCAGTTTGTGCAAGACATGGACTTTTGCAATTTAAAATCTTGCATAGACTCCACTTATAAAATAAGCTCAGGAACATGTATCCAAATATTAGTCCAGTGTGCAACAATGGGCAACCATTGTGTACAATCACCTGCCTCACTAGCCTTTATGTTCTGGCACTGCCCAGGAGTCACAATATATTGGCAAAATATTTCTCAGTTGCTACCAGATAGGACCAGATAGTCCTGGATAGACCTGAAGATTCTGATCCACTGACCGCACTCTTTGGTATTTAAGGTTCTGATCTTGTGTTAACCAGCTCCCAACATATATGTTAGTATTTGTAACCTTACTAGCACGCATCATTTGGTGGTGGAAGGTTAAATTCTCCTTAGCAGGGTGTGAAAACAAATCCTACCAGATCTGGCAACCCTTTATAGACCACTTAAAGAAAGATGCGCTAAGTTCTTCCCCAAACTAGCCCAGTTTGAATGACACAAAACACTGCCAAATTTTATTTATTTATTTAAAAATATTTGTCTATTTATTTTCTTTTTTATCGTAATGATATATACGATACATTTTATCTGTAAATATTATATTTTTATATATTATAATATTATATTTATGACAAATCACCCTTTAGAGTATTTTTGATTTTTGACTTCTGGAATATTTTATATATTTTCGTATCAGAAATTCTGTTTTCCCTTTTATACTATTGCCACTGTTTGTTTAATTTCAAAATCCCCAATTAAAAGTATTGAAAAAAAGCAAATTTTAAGCAAAATGCATGTGACTTGTTTAGCAAAAATGTTTTTGGTTTTGTTTTTTTCCTCTATATCCAGTCTTTGTAATTTAATCATGGCCCTTCAGATGGATCTAGTTATCCGCTGACGGGTCCTGACCCCAAGGAAAGTTAGTAGTCAATTAAAAGAAAACGAAAACAGCAGCTATTTAAATAATAAATTGGTCATTTTAAGTAATTTATTAAGTAATTTGATAAGCATTTACCATTATTCTTGAAATCCTTGAAAAATTGTGAACTTGAGTGAAAAAAATCAAGGCCTTTAAAATGTTTGATAACAGACATTAATAGATATGGGTTATTAAAGGTGCTTGAATTTATATATTTTATGCAACTATAGCAGATATTATCAAAAGAGCTTCAATTTCTGTCACTGTAACACAACACAACTGAGAAGAACTCATTCTTTCTGTCTGTGAGCTTCTGTAAATCCTGCTGGATCTCACTATGTAACTTCTCATCGCTGTAACACTAATTAATCTTGAGCCCTGTCCCAAACTGTGCCATGTAGGGTCCTTGAATTTGAGGGAGCTTGGCCTGGAAAGTCCTGGAATTTGAATCATCGCGGCTTTTCTGGGTCTGTCTAATTTAAGGCTGTCAGAAGTATTAATACTTGACAACATGATCTCTGTTAATTACACATTTAATAGTAGTGAATGTATCAAAGCTAAAAAAACGAACAGATCTACAATCAGATTTGCATCCCAAGGCTGGAAAGATGAAACGACAGGAAAGAAAATCTACTGGTCCTCAACCTGTGGCTGTTACAGCCTTCTCTCCAGCAACAAAGCCGCCACGTGACTGAAGTCGAGGAGTAACTCTTTCTGTATCAGCGCTGTGTTCAGGTTGCTCATTAAAAATAAAATTTCCCATTCTGTGTGCCAAGAACTTTTTTGTCTTTTTGCCATGGTACTGAAAGAGGTATCATTTTTTTATACTATTTTTTATTGAAGTTAAAATTCTGTATCATGACGACCTTAATCTGAGAGCATTTGCAGGATGTTTCTGTGAGTCTGACCATGAAAACGGCCTCAGATCAGAGCACAAAGTATGTGCACTGTTGTTTCTCCTCTCCCTGACCAACTGCATTATTCCAGAACCTGCAGCCTAACACACACATGGCCTGTGTGTGCCCACTGAGCCATGACAGCATTATCCTCTTACTGTCTCCCAGCAGCTCCTCAGACATCAGACTGTCCTGACGGTTCCCCAGCACGAAGGCCAGAAAGGAGAGGATGAGGGCGTCCATGATGCCCATGATAGCCAGGATGTAGGCCCAGCGCACCGAGCAAGCTCCCAGCGTGTACTTGTCCGTCTGCTCGCCACACATCCGCTTCACCTCGTCGCTGTCCCAGCCGTCCGGGTAGATCATGCAGCCCAGAATCAGACATGTACCTGGATCAGGAGGAGAGAAAGACGGGTTAGTTGGCTACTACGAGAGGACTCATGTTGGATTTGGGATACTCTGTGAACCTAGAAAAATGAAGTAGTCAATAAAATGTAAATTCATGGAGGAGATATTAGCAGAGGGTCTGTATCTTGAGTTATGAGCAGGTGAACTCTGCAGAGAAACAGGGTGAAATATATTTTATAAGGAAAAAAGAAATAAGGCAGTATGAGAAGAGGAGGTGACAGCAGTGCAGAAATGGGACAGGGAGGTGAGGAAGGAGGCAGAAACAGAGAGAATATGTTACAACATGTCACAGCACCATGTGGCGAGTCGCGCTGCCTTCATTAGCCGTCTGCTGCACGGCTGACAATGACAGACTGAGCTGTTAGAGAGCAGAGTCATCTAACAACACTTCTTCTGCCAGTAGGGAACTGTTGTCACATTCACACACTCACACACAGTCAGCTGAGGCAATCAGATGATTTACAGGTCTGAGAGGTCCGTATTTATTTATTGACGACGCTGCCAAAAGCTAAGTCTGAATGTCAGAGGTTTTGTTTTAATTTCCGTCTCAGCGAGGGCCAATTTTAATTTTAGATAATGAGAGTGAGGACGTTTTTGGGAAGGCAGGAGAAGTTGGATGATTGAGGGCTGGGACTTCAGGATAACGTCCAGCACTGCCTGGCAGGAGAGATATAGTATCTTAATGGGACCTTTCTGGTTAAATAAAGGATAAATAAGAAGCTTTAGGGTTAGTGTTTGAGGGAGGTAAGAGGGGCTTTTATTGGGAGGTTTCCCTCTAAAGGCCCAGACACACAAAACCAACTTTCCCTGTCCCTTACCCTTCTCTCACTCATACTCAAAATGATTTAAAGTAGAGGTTACAACTGCACTTTGTATACGATGTGATCTGAGGGGCTGCCAAGTTGTAATATATTGTGGGAGTCGGCCCTTTAAGATATATCTTAGATCATGTAGCCACATACTGAAGGTAGGAACTGTTGTTTCTTTCCATGACATAAGTAGAAGGTTTTGATGTTGTAATGATACAGATAAGTTGTTGCTGTGCTGTGGTAAGTTGTCCCAATATTTCAGATACACCCAGAATGATTAATATAGGTTCTGGTTCTGGTGAAATATTAATAATGTCTGAGACGATGAAGATATCGGACCAAAAAAGATGCAATCTGAGGGCATAATACAAAGCTATGAAAAAGAGTTGCCTCTGAGGAATGAATCATCATAAGTGGGTGTTACGTTTGGATATATTTTGTGTATTTTTACCACAAATACCCTTGGGTGTGCGCTTACACACTGGGGGCATGGAGTATAAAAGAAGTTTCTTTACTTAGTCGACCAGCTATCAGAAACAGAACAGAAATTCACAAAACTTTATTTAAATTATAGTGAAGATCCCAAAGTTTCCAAAGATATCTAGAATATTTCCTCGAACATTTTGATGGAATCACACAGCCATAAAAAACATGAAGTCTTGGGTATGAATATTTCAACGCCATAATGCTTCAATGATGAACTGGAACGAGCCGATAAAGAAGATACATGATAAAGTTAAACACTGTGGAACATGATTTTGTTTTTAAACTTTAAAACCACGAATGAGGGAGTATAAAGTTTGATTTACAGATGTTTTTAAACTGAAAGTTGGGTGAAAAGAAAAAAAACCTCAAGTGAAGTTCAAGTACTTTTAATTTGTACTTAAAGGGTTACTTCAGTATTTTTCAGCCTGGACCATGTTTTTGTGTCTAAGTGAATAATTGGAACAATAATATTTGAAACTGGTCCTGTTTTTTAAGATCTGTCAGCATTGGGTACTTTTACTTTAAATATTTATGTACATAAGTAACATTTTCAATGCAGGACTTTTACTTGTAACAGAGTATTTTCATGCTGTGGCATTAGTGCTTCTACTTAAGTAAACGATCTGATTAATTCCTCCACCACTGCTTGCAAAATTATCTTTAAAACTGTCAAACATTATATGTGTACATTTCAAACTGGATCAATTATTTATCTCTCACTGTTGACTACTGCACATATTTTTTCAGAAATAATGTCCTGTAGGGTACATCAGAAGGAGAAGAGGGAGCGTCACTGCATTCACGTGTCTCACAAGTACGGAAACTCAAGTGTGTGTGTGTGTGTGTGTGTGTGTGTACTTGTGTATGCTACATAGTGAGGACCATATAACACAGTGAGGACATTTCTGCAAAGTGGGGACATTTTGTCCGGTCCTCAGTTTTTCAAAGGCCTGCTTGAGGGTTAAGACGTTTAGGTTGGGGCTAAAACGCAGCACTCTGAAAACAGCGCTCCGAGGGACACGGGCTCTTGATGAGTGGTAGTATGGGAATACTTAAAAATGTCCTTTTATGAGTCCCAATAGAGGTTGGAAGAGGCACATGAACATAAAATCTGAGTGTACCGAGCCACTGCACATGTGGGGTAATGGGAAATTTGTCATTTATTAACGCTGCTCCCATCCCCCAGGGTCTCTGAAGAAATTACCTGGTGACTGCCGATGAGATTTATGAGATGAATAAATAGATAAATAGATCCATGAATACATCAATTAAAAAAAATTAATCGATCATTAAGTAGGTTTAATAATAAATCAGCTGAACTAGGGCAAAAAGACCTGATAATAAGTGTTGAATCGAGTGAAAGAAACTGATATAATGATGCATGTGTGGAGTTACAATAGGTTAAAAAACAGAGGTCAAGTGTTTAAAAATATAAAACAGACAAAGGTAAGTGCTTGTTAAAAAGAGTAGGTGCTTAAAAGGTGAAAAAACTTAATTTCAAACAATCCATATACACATAAGAGATATTAGAGTTCAAATAAAGTTGTGCATCAATGTATTTATATCAGTTAAAAGTATTGTAATTCAAGTCAGTAGTTATATGATCGTTTGGGTAAGGGCTGAGGGAATTCATTATGTCAATGAAGGTCCTCACAAAATTAGAAGTACAAGAATGTGTGTGTGTGTAAGGTTAGCACACTAAGGTGAGCAGCCAGAAGATTAAGTAAACGGATAATCTCCGGAAATGTCAGGGACTTGTGTCCCTCCTTCCCTCCGCTTTCCCTCTTTCTTATCTCCCCCTCCCCCCTTGCGCTCTCTTTGTGGCCTCCATAATGAGAAAAGATAGCGAGAGGAGCAGCGGTGAGACGGAGACCTTTATACACAGTCCATAACAGAGACGGAGGATGAGCTGAGACCACACAGGTGTCTGGGTCATGTCTGTTTTCCTGTTAGTCATGAGTTAAACACGACCAGCCGTCCCTCTCACAGTTGTACCAATAAAAGCAGCAACAAGCTACTGTAATAATAACCTGCATTGATGCGAAAGCACTCTAATCCATATCCGACGCCTACATTTCCCAGGAGGCTCTGAGTCTATTGACTTTCCTGCAGCCTTCCTGAGTTTGGAGATCAATGTTCTCAGAGCAAATCCAAAAGAAAAAAACTGTTTAAAGCAGCAGTGAGTTTCTTTATGTTATTTTTATTAGACACATCAGTTCCCTGTTTGGTGCATAACGGAGAGAAAGAGCTTATCAGATATGTAAGTTGTCGTCTTGAACATATCATAAATCAGATCCCAGTGATTAGCGTTAATATTTTCCAGTTCCTTTTTAAACTCAGCCCGTGATCGCACAGCAACAACAACTGAGAGTCCAAATTTGCACACCATGCCAAACACCTCGCCACCAAAACAAAGCTTGAAAGAAAACAACCGAGAGAGTAATGTGTGAAATTCAACAAGTACGAGGATAATTTCTGAGATACTGGTGCGTCTCCAGGACTGATTAGTTTGTTTATTATACAACAGTTATTCTTCCTGCGGTCCACATGAAAATATAGTCAGCGACAATACAAATCAAACACACAGCTCACAGTCTTACACCAACGATGACAATAATATACAAAAGCATTACCACATTAGATACAACATGAGGAGACAGACAAAAGTGGTATAAGCAGAGCTGTCTTTCCTATCATTGATATAGTCAGTGTCTCATCATAAATGGGGGTATAGTGAGGGAACAGAGTGAGAGGGGAAAACGGTCCTTTAAGTACTTGAAGGTACGTACGTATTTCAAACTCACATAAGAGACGCTTTTACTTTTTTTTTTTTTTAATAGATATGATTAATGAAACTTTAGCAGTGGTTAAACAATCTAACACTGTTTGGTTAAAGCGTTAGATCGCTTTTTGTTTAACTAGAAACAACCCTAAAGTCGCTATCGCCAAACCCACCAGCCTCCATTTAAATAAACGGACATTTTAGCGTGTTGTTGTCGGCTCACCCATTTTCCCCGATAAGGGTGGTGGACTTGTGGTTAAGCTGTGAGGGTGTGACGTATGCTTCATGTGTATATGGAGGGAAGCAGCTCTCTCGCAGTGTCGTGATGAAGACGGCAGGCGGCACAGAGTGATGATAGTCAGCAGAATTAAATGTCTAGATAAGCTCAGGGCTACTGTTCAACCTCACAGGAAGGCCATGTTTGTTGTTTGCAGGACTTTGACTTTAACCTTTGCTGCACAGTATTATTAGTTTTACTTAAGGAAAAAGTTTTGAGTAGCTACATCTTCTACAGCTGCCAGCAGCCTACCAACATTATCAGTTAGAGAAAGGGTGAAAATAAAGCAAGGCAGTTTGTTTGGGGCCCCAGGCCCCCAAAACACTAAATCCATCCCCGTTTTTATCAATATTTCCCTCCAAAGTCTGACTAAAACTTAAACAAAGCACTCTAGCCCCTTTTACACTCCCAGATTTTCAGTGAATGTTGGGCCATTTTGCCGGCAAGCTGCGAGCGTTTAGACACACAGAGCCGGATTGGCGAGTTGATCCGAGGTGCCCAATTTTCTGCCTCGTAAGGTAGTCATATTGGCGGAACCCTTTTGGTTTAAGCAGACCGAGGCGGTTTTCTGCTACACGAGGGGCTGTTGAAGACTTGTGGGAGGAGTTGTTGATGACGCCGCACATG